ATGTTTTACAGAATTAGAACAAATAATCCTAAAATTGACATGGAATCACAAAAGACCCAGAATTGCCAAAACAATACTGAAGAAAAAGAACAAAGTTGGAGGTATAACTCTTTCAGACTTCAGACAATATTACAGAGATACAGTAATCAAAACAGCATGGTATTGGCACAAAAACAAACAGATGGTCAATGGAATAGAATGAAGAGCCCAGAAATAAACCTACAGACCATCAGTCAATTAATCTTTGACAAAGGAGGCAAGAATATACAGTGGAGAAAAGATAGTCTCTTTGGAAAGTGATGCTGAGAAAGCTGGACAGCTACATATAGATCAGTGAACTTAGAACACTCCTTCACACCATACACAAAAATAAACTCAAATGGCTTAAAGTGGTAGCTCACAGAGAAAAAAAAAAGTGACAATGACTTTATGTATGTTCATGTATAACCGAAAAATTGTGCTGTACACTGGAATTTGACACAACATTGTAAAATGAGTATAACTCAATTAAAAAATGTTAAAAATCAATCAATCAATCAATCAATCCCCAGCCCAGTGCCTAGAACACACACACAAAAATAACTAAATAACTAAATAAACTTAATTACCTCCTTCTACAAGTAAATAAATAAATAAATAATTTTTTAAAGGAAAAAAAATGGCTTAAAGACTTAAACATAAGACACTATAAACCTCCTAAAAGAGGACATAGGCAAAACATTCTCTGACATAAATCTTAGCAATGTTCTCCTAGGGCAGTCTACCCAGGCAATAGAAATAAAAACAGAAATAAACAAATGGGACCTAATCAAACTTATAAGCTTTTACACAGCAAAGGAAACCATAAACAAAATGAAAAGACAACCTACGGAATGCGAGAAAATATTTGCAAACAGTGTGACTGACAAGGGTTTATTTCCAGAACATAAAAACAACTCATACAACTCAATAGCAAAAAAAACAAACAACACAGTCAAATAATAGGCAGAAGACCTAAACAGATATTTCTCCAATGAAGACATACAGATGGCCCATGGGCACATGAAAAGACATCAACACTGCTAATTGTCAGAGAAATGCAAGTCAAAACTACAATGAGGTTGTCGCCTCACACCAGTTACAATGGTCATCATTAACAGTCCACAAACCATAAATGCTGGAGAGGGTGTGGAGAAAAAAGAACCTCCAACACTACTGATGTCAATGTAATTTTGTGCAGCCACTATGGAAAACAATATGGAGGTTCCTTAAAATACTAAAAATAGTTACCATTTAGCCAGCAATCCCACTCCTGGACATATATCTGGAAAAAAACTCCAGAAGATATATGTAAGGTTCGTAGCAGCACTATTTACAACAGCTAAGACCTGGAGGCAACCTAAATGTCTATGGACAGATAATTGGATAAAGAAGATACGGACTCAACATTAAAAAGCATGAAATAATGCCATTTGCAGCAACATGGATGGACCTAGAGATTATCATACTAAGTGAAGTAAGTCACAGAAAGACAAATATCATGTGATATCACTTATATGTGGAATCCAAAAAATGACACAAATGAACTTATTCAGAAAACAGAAACAGACTCACAGACATAGGAAATAAACTTATGGTTACCAAAGGGGTGAGAGGGGAGTTTGGGATTAGCAGATAAAAAACTACTATATATAAAATAGATTAAAAAAACAAAGTCTTATTATATAGCACAGGAAACCAGATTCAATACCTTATAATAGCTTATAATGAAGAAGAATATAAAGAAGATTATATATATGTATAACTGAATCACTATGCTGTACACCAGAAACTAACACAACACTGTAGATCAACTACTTCAATGAAAAATAATAGTAATATAGTCACTGAATTATGTACTTAAGGTCTGTGTATTTGGTATATAAATGTTTAATAATAATAATAAAAATAAACAAACACTGGCTAGCTATTACTTAATAATACACATAGTAGCATATAAAGTAAAAAGAAGGCTATAAACTGTAATATACTTCATGAAAATAGTTACATTAAAAAAATAACAACCAACTTTTGTATACCAAAATAAAGAAAAAACTGTACCAAAATTTTGTGTTACAGGTAGTGAGATAAGAGATTCTTTTTCTTCTTTTTATTTATCTAAGTGTTCTACTTTTATAAAATAAGCACTATTTTTATTATGCATGTTATATATATAATATTTTTATTATATATTATTATATATTATGTTTTAATAAAGCTGCTGAAATGATACATTCTTTTTTCAATGAAAAATACTATATGCTATATTCTTATCAGAAAGGCTGAACTTAAATATAATCAAGCTTTTAGCTCTAATTTCCAGTTTACAAGAAAAATAAGAGATTGGAAAAAAGAGGTAAAGGGACCTCAGGAGGAAGCAAGCACTCAGATTAATCTAAAAAGGATGACATTCTTACAGGACAATTAACTTGGTTTCTTTAACATGCCAATTGCATAAAAGACTGATAGGCATGGCAGAGCCAGGGAAAAACAGAGACTTTTTAAATTAAAAAATAATTAAGAGATATACAATAAAAAAATTCAATTTGTAAAATTTGTTTAGGTCTTGGTTTGAACAAACCAAGTATACAAAGATATTTTTGAGACAATCGGAAACAGCATGAACCACGTATTCGATTATTTTAAATGATTATCAATTTTATCAGTTATGATTATGGTATGTTACAAATATAAGAAAATATCCTAATATTTCAGAGATTGATGACAAAGCATTTAATGAAAAAATGCTGTGATTTGGGGATTTGGTTTAAAATGCTTCATAAGTTAAAAATAGATAAATCAAGTGTTGTAAAATGTTAGACCTGCTGAATCAGTGTGATGGGTATGAGGAGTTCATCTTACAATTTTCTCTTCTTTGATGAAGTTTAAATGTTTTTTGCAATAAAAATTTTTTTTAAATTGATAGCCAACTAGTTGCTCAGTGTTTAATGGGGCTTACTTCATAAATATATTTTTGCTGTTCTTATCAGCTTTTAAAAGTTCCCTACAAAAGTACTGCTTCCACTGCAACTTCTCCAAGAGTATTACATATACCCCAGCTTATGCGCCTTTCAGGCATTCATATATATAACTTGGTCTTTTTTGCCCAAGGCATAAGTATTAAAGGGGAGTAGCGACCCAGAGGTTTAACATAAAAATAGAGACTTTACTTTTCACAGACAAACAGGACAAACAAGAGGAACAAGTCAGAATAGCTTCAGTATTTCTTTCCAGTGCCTTGTGCTTAGTACCTTCAACTCAAAAGGCTATGAAGCTGGTTGCAAATAGAAAAGTTTTATCAAAAGAAAAATTATTTCCTGCATCTTTTTATTTCTGAGTCTGATAAGACTCATGCTGGCTGGTTCCTTTTTACATTGGTTATGCCTCTGATTTTCAAGGAGGAGAGCACTATTAAGCTTTATAGGCCACTGAGTAGTTTAAAAAGTTAATTTAATTTGAATTTAATAATTTAATTCAGAAATATTACTGAATGCCTACCTACTGTGTTCACAAAAGTATAATAGTGGTAATACAGTCTTCACATTCTCAAATTAGTAATAATCTTACTTTCAAACCTAGGACACATAAAAATTTAATTTTGTCATCAAATATTACTCAACATAAAAGAAACAGAAAAAATACTTGGAGATACCTGTCACATAAAAAAATAACCTAAGAAATTAAAAAACTGTAAATTCTAAGCATTAGTTTTTCAGGAAGATATTTTTAGACTAAAGGTGAGAACACTGAATCCTGTCCAAAGGTTTTTTGGTTCCAACAATGGGATAGTAGTTACTTGAGTATAATATACTTACCGATGATAAAACATGCGAGCCATGCCCATTCTTTGCTTTTCTCCCCCTGACAGGACGTCTTTCCAGTCCATAACAGCATCCCATCCTTTAAAAAAGATACGTACTTTATACAGCATTCTTTTAGTTGTTACTGTTTTTACCAGGACAAGTGGTTTCTAAAAGTTTAAGTTATTGATACAAAGAATCTGATATTTCACAGAATGTATGCTTGGATAAACTGCAGAGTCTCATGTTTAAGCATTTTGTTTTAGATTTGATATTTTTAATGGTAATCATTACTTATATTGACAAAACATCGAAGAGTTCTAAATAATGACACTTTAAAAATTTGTTTCTGAATGTCTCCAAAGAGTTGGTACACTTATACTTATTTTGGAGGGTGGTAGGAGAAAAGAGCAACAAACATGCATAGGCCTATTATAAAGTCTACAGAGGGTAAGGGAGGGGCTGACTTAAATGGCTTCCATGTGCCTGGCACTTTATATGAGTTTTCTCATGTACTGCTACAGTACTACCCAGTCTGTGGTTAGTTTAATCCGCAAATGCAGGGCCGAAGATACGTAAGAATCTTGGAAACAGAGGGCCTACTGTAAGTCATATGCAGATTTTTGATTGCCTACTAAAACTTACGAGTGTAGTGGAACAAAGGACATGATTTATTTAAATATGTAAAATTAAGGTTTCCTTTGACCCAAATACTTTTTTCTCTTGTCTTCTCAGTTGGCAGGGGGAGAAAAAAACATTAAGCCCAGAACATTTCTCCACTGTGTAGCAATCTGGACCTATTTTTTAAATTCTCACTTATGCTTCATAAGTGCTATAAAATTAAGTCACAGAGAAAATTTTATTTCAACAGTTTTCACGGGAAGCAAGAATACATATACATATATACAAATTATAATTGCATTTCTGTAAATAAACACACACACATCTCTGGGAATGAAATTATGAGACTAAGTTACACATTTTTATCATATTTGAAAAATTTATGATTTTAAAATTATTTTGAAACTTTTCTTAATTCTGTAACAAGAAAAAAAAAGTTACTTAAAAATAAAACCATGGGGCCTATTAGACAGTCATATCAAATATTCTTATGAAGTGGGAAACTGGAAAACCGAGCAGCCAGCCTAGGTAAAGCCTGACTTTCAAAGAAGAAAATGACTGTCAAGACACGACACACACTCACACAAACAACTTGACATACACACTTAGAATACTTCCAGATCCCAAGTATTCAAGGCTTAATGTTCCCATCTGGAAAAAATTCAGGCTCTTTGCCCTCTATTTTCCTCCCTCAGCTGAATTTTCACCTTTAGTAAAATTTCTAAGTAAAGTTGGTCAAAGGCAAAGAAAATAAGTGAGAGTTTCATTGTTTTTGTGTACCGGATTGTAAAGATTTTCTCTATTTCCCAATGTTACTTCTCACTAGGGACCAGAGTTCTTTATTTTTGTACAAACTTCCAAAAATTTCTATCCATTTAAAAACATGTAATTAGGGGAAAATAATCTCAAAATGCTAACTGATTCAAAGTTCTTGCTGCTAGTGAAAACTGTTGAAATAAAAGTTTCTCTATGAGTTAATTTTATAGCATTTATGAAACATAAGTAAGGGTTTGAAAAACAGGCTGGGATTGCTACACAGTGGAGAAATATTCTAGGCTGACATTTCCCCTCCCCCTGCCAACTGAGAAGGCACAAAAGAAAAGTATTTGGGTCAAAGGAAATTTTCATTTTACATATTTAAATAAATCATGTCATTTGTTCCACTAAACTCAAGAGTTTCAGTAGGCAATTATTTCTTGATCACAGAACACACAAATCAGAACTCTGAGTCATAATAACACCTCTGATGCTGAAATAGTGAGACTAAGTCAGCTAAGATTTGAATGGTTTTCCTGCTTCTTGAAGATAGACAAACTGCTTTTAGCTCATGTCTATTTGTTAACACTGCTATTTTGTTACCTCTTTGATGGAATGAAACACAGTTTTAAATTCCAACTTTTACTAAAGCAAAGCATTTCTCTAAACAAAGTATTAGCTAATCTAAATAGATCTTCAACTTCAGGCTTCTTCCAAAATAAGTCATGTCCTTGTAAATTTAAGTGCTCTCCTGCTTTGCTTAAAAACACGTTTCATGTTTTAAGGGTTAGGCAAGTAAAGTGGCTTTCCTGGGCATTTTTCTATGTGTAAGGATATAACAATTCTTCCTGTGTCTGGGAAATTGAGATAGGATAGCACAGCCTAATGCAGAACATTGACTTTTAAGTCAGATCTGTGTTAGAATCCCTGCTCCATCACTTGCTGAGGGCCTCTGGGGAAACTACCAAACTTCTGAATTTCATCTGTAAAAATGGGCTAATAAAAACCCATAGCACCGAGCAGTTATAAATATTAAATAAGATGATAGTATAAATTGCTTAATAAGTTATATACTGTATGGTAAGCTCTCAATAAACTGCAACAGTTACTTTTACATTATTCAGGTTGGAACATTATTGAAAAAGTTTTATAACTTCTTGATGACTTCTAAGAAAGCAGAATATCCCATATTTAGTATAAATTTCTATTTGGATTATTGGATTTCACAGGCAACCAAAAAAACCTACACATGACTAACATGCAGCCATTATTCCGGCGGTTTTAAAATTGAGAAGAATTTGACCATACGAAACAAAAAGACAACCTGCTTTCCATATTTGTAACGTTTATGAACTATGTTAATACAAACATTATCAAATAAATATAACAATACCTCTCTTGCCTGCCTCACTTGTTTGTTGTAAGGATCAAATGAAATAATGTATGTGAAATTTCTATGTAAAATATCAAGCATCATCACACAAAGACAAAATATCATAGTATCAATATTATAACTAGTTCTGTTATCTTTAGCTATTAATTTTTGTGCATTTACTATGTGCCACTGCTCTAAACACATAGTCTTATTTAATCTCCACAGAATCTTTATCAGGTAGATATTCACCCCCACTTTACAGCTGAAGATACAGAGAACAGAGCTATTTAAGATTTGATTCCAGAACTCCACCTTCAAAGATTATGCTCAGTTACTGTACTACTCTGCTTTTTTTGACAATGTAAACAGGCTAAAAAATAAAACATGAAATTCATACAAAATTAAACCTAGAATTCTAGCTTTGCTATTTCTGTAGTTTTTCTAGGCTGTCAAATTATATGGTATCCGTTATTTGGAAGAAATTCTCTTTTTTTTAAAAGCAATTCTTTTTTAAACTAATATACATAACTATTATTCCTAATTTTTCAAAAATGTCTTCTATTGAAAAACTATAGCACAAAAGTTTCTGTATTTTATCTAATTCTCTATGTGGTGCTTGAAAAGAAAAAAAAATGTATTTGTAAGACTGGCTCTGAAAACAAAAAACGTTCTGTGACATCTTCTTCTCAAATGATTATGTTTAATGTAAGCTGACAGCTTGACAGGAGAATATTTCTGTCTTGGACTTTACATACATTTAGTTTGACTATGGTCTCAGGGACACATGTCCATTCAAACATGGAAAAAAAAACTGTTTTCAAATGCTAGCAGCAGACTTAATAAAAAGCCTACTGTGCTGCGTGAAATATAACACAAGTGGAAAAGAGGATGTCAATAATAGAAAAGCAATAAAAGCTGTGAACCCTATCTTTACTTGTGTGCTTATGTTCCAACAATAGTATACATTCAAATTAAACACATTTTTTTTCATAAATGCACAAAAAAAAATGAATGATGGACTTTACCTCCCTCTCTCTGAACTATATGATAGAGGTGAACATTATGTAGAATACAGTCTAGATCATGGTCTGTGTAGCCTTTATCATGCATGTCATCCACAGAATCAGGATAAATGACTTGATCCCGAAGACTTCCAAGAGACATATATGGCCTGTAAAACACAAAGTGCGTAAGAGTCCCAGTACAAAATCACTTCAAAAATTAGTTTACTCAGTGTGACATCCTGGTGGCCTGAAAACTCTAGAGTAAACTTTGAATAGCATATTTCTAGGATTACATGTATTATCTCGTGGTGAGTATGTCTCTCTCAGGCATGGAGGGATAATACATTGTTATATTCATGTAAAAAATTGATTGAGATAGAGTCACAAGAAAAGTTTCCGTAAGAAATACTAGAATATTTTCAGCACAGACATGCATACTTGTTCTCTTGTATTTTATAAAAGTTGCTTCAGTATTACATCTAAAGTTATTTGGGTTAAATATTATAAAATTTGAGGTTTTGATCCAGAAATATGAACAAATAAAACTTTTTAAAAAGTACCATTTATCATAAGAGAGATGCAAATTAAAACTATACTGAGTTTCTTATCAGATTGGCAGACATTCAAAAGCTTGACAACTCATTCAGCTGGTAAGTCTACAGAGAGACAGGTACTTTTATACCGTTGTGAAAATGCAAAATGGTACAACTCTTTGGAGAGGATTTGGCTAACCAATAGTCTGGCCTTTGACCCACCTCTAGGAATTTATTCTGAATATACACTTCCAAAAATATACCACCACAAACAAAAGAGGGTGTAAGGTTATCCAATACATCATTATTTACAACTGCAAAATATTGAGGACAACCTAAATGCCCATACAAAGGAGACTGACTGAGTAAACTATCACACCTGCACTATGAGCTATCAAACAGGACGTGAAGAGCTCCATGAATTGATATAGAGTGATTTCCGTAATATATTGTTAAGCTGAAAAGCCAAGTGCAATGTATACAAATT